GCTGGCTCAAGGTGGGGTGGGGGTCCATGAGGCAAGGACAGGGACAGGACCAGGGATGGGGAGGGCCAGGGTCCAAGCTTCCCACTGCCTTCCTGTTCCCTCTCAGGTTGCAGAGCAGCTCATCAACCCTTTCGGAGAGGACGACGATGACTTTGAGACCAACTTTCTGATTGACCGAAACTTCCAGGTGAGCCTCTAGGGGCAAGTGGTCCACACCTTCTCCACAAGGCCTTGTCCCCAGCCCAGCCACACCTGCCGAGGGCTCCCCTAGAGCCACTCTGCTCTCTGGGGCACCTTGCTGCCACCACCCTGAGGGCCACCCCACGTTACCTCACCCCTTGTGTCCACACACTCAGGTGTCTATGCTGGCCGTGGATGAGATGTATGATGACCTGGCCATGCTGGAGAAGGACCTGTACTGGGACGCAGCTGAGGCCCGTGCCCCCTACACGGCAGCCACGGCCTTCCTGATGCAGCAGCCCTCCTTTCAGGGCTCCACCTTCGACATCACGTGAGCTGGTGGGGCCATGGGTGGGACTTACACTTAGGCAGACTAACTTGACCCAGGGTGGTGTGTGTGTGTGTGTGTGTGTGTGTGTGTGTGTGTGTGTGTGTTACAAGGGATCAAACCCTGAGCCTTCAACTGGGCTGCAGTCCCAGCCCTTCAGCCCTTTATATTTTCATAGAGGGTCTTGCTAAGTTGCTCAGGCTGGGCTCAAACTTGCAATACTCCTGGCTCAGCCTCCCTCATGCTGGGGATTACAAGGCATGCACCACCACTCCTGGCAAGATTTTTTTTTTTTTTCTTTTTGGTATAGGGGATCAAACTCAGGACCTTGTGCTTTCGAGGCAGGTGGCGGCACCACTGAGCTAAATCCCCGGCCCCTGGCAAGATTTTTTGGTTGTTAGCTCAATTATTTCAAAATTTTTTATTAGTACGTGTTTGCAGTACCTAATGATTACATTCACAGTGGGAACCTGGTACATGTACATAACACATCTTAATTCTTTGAGATCGGTGTGTGAGCAGAGCCAGAGGATAAAACCAGGGTGTGGGGGCCAAAGTCTCTGGAGATAAGTGACACAGAGGGGTATTTGGAGCCAGAGAAATTTTTGTATTTGGAAGTCTGCTCTTCAATCAGGGAGAGGTGAGGGCTCAAGATGTAGCTCCGGCAGAACATTTGTTTAGCATGCTCAAAATCTTGAGTTCCAGCAGGGGATTTAGCTCAGTGGTTCCGCCACCTGGCTCGAAAACACAAGGTCCTGAGTTCGATCCCCAGTACCAAAAAAAAAAAAAAATTGAGTTCCATCTCCCACAGTGAGGTGGGGGGAGGGACCCAGAAGACTGAGGTAGGAGGATCCTCCTGGGCTACATAGTGAGTCAATGACAGCCGGAACTACATATTGAGGACCTGTCTCAAAAATAAAGGAAGGGGGGCTGGGGATTTAGCTCAGTGGTTCTGGCACCTGCCTCGAAAGCTCAAGGTCCTGAGTTCGATCCCCGGTACCAACAAAACAAAAAATAAAGGAAGGAAAGAAAAGAGCAGAGGAGCGATGCCACAGCGCCAACCCTTGTCCGTCCGCAGGCTGGCCAAGGAGGACATGCAATTCCAGCGGCTGGACAACGCAGACGGCCCCCTGGGAGAGGCGCACGGCGACCTCCTGCAGCGCCTCCTGCCGACTGGCGCCGGAACGGCCTTGCTGGGCCGGCGCCTGTCGCTGCTGCGCCGCAAGAACAGCTGCGTGTCGGAGGCATCCATCCCGGCCAGCTGCGCGTGCGCCCCCGACGGCGCGGCCCTCGAGTGCGGGTGCGCGGACCCGCTCCTGGAGCCGGCTCTGCGGGAGCCAGAGCCCGAGTTTTCTGCCTGTCCCGAGCCGCCTGCACCCGCGCCTTCGCCCGCGCTGGTCCCTGACCCCTTCCCTGGCCTGCCCCTCCCCGGGCCCCGCGTGCTGGCGCCGCCCTGGCTACCCAGCCCTATCGGCGAGGAGGAGGAGAACCTGGCTTGAGCGTCGGGGCCTAGGCCTCCGAAGGACAGAAACGCAAGCCCACGCACCGCAGGCCAGGCTGCATAAACCTGCTGTGCCTGCATGAACTCAGCCTGCGTGGGTCTGGCTCAGATGCTTTGTTCGTTTTGCTATGTAGTTCTCCCTGGCCTTGAATTCACTGTGTAGCCTAAGCCGACCTTGAACTCTTGGAGATCCTCCTGCCTGAGCCTCCCAAATTCTGGGATTACAGGCATGTGCTAGCACACCTAGCTCTTTCCCATGCTTTGAGCAGCCAGTCCTTAGAGCTAGATCCACTTCCCAGCCTCAACCCCTCAGCAGCCTCAAGGAGCATGTCCTGCCTGAGTTCTTCCCTTACAACAGACACAGGCATGCCTACCTTGAGGAGCTGAGGATGAAATGCTGGCTTTAAAACATTGTGTGTGTAATAGGTGGTCAATAAACTGTTAGTGTGTGTGTGTGTGTGTGTGTGTGTGTGTGTGTGTGAAGTCAAACTTATTAGCGTGACTTCTCTTGCCTGGCAGTATACAAAAATTTGGGGATTCATCTAGGGTTTTGGGGGATGCCTTGTTCACTTCTTGCCAAATTCTACTCTCTGAAATATAGCAGGGATGCCAGCTGTATTCATTAACAAGCCAGCCACTGCCCTAAAGCCACAGCTTCCTGCATTCCCAAGCCCCTGCATTCTCAAATACTCTGCAAACCCTCCTACCCAGGGCTGGGCATCAAGACTGGGGCCTCTGGAGTGTAGCCTCCTGTGCTGGAGGCCTTAATTTTACCATATTCAGCAACTCATGAATCAGAACTCTACCCAGGATGCCTTCCTTCCCTACTCTGTCTCCAACTGTCTCCTCTGAACTATCATGCAAAGATCTCACAGTGACTTTTTCCCCCAGTACTGGAGATCGAGGCCAGGGCCTCCCTACCACTGAGCTATATCCTCAGCCTTTCTTATTCTGAGGCCAAGTCTCACTAAATTTCCCAGGCTGGCCTTGAGTTTACAACCCTCCTGTCTCAGCCTCCAAAGTAGCTGAGATTATAGGTATGAGCCACTGCTCCCCAGGTTCTCACAGTGACTTTGAAGGTAATGCCCTTCAAATACAAAATGACCTCCAGTCCCTCCCCAGCCTGCTCAGCCCAGTGTTTCTCAGTTTTGTCCCTCCAGGAGATGAGGCCAAAATCTGGGAGTCCTGGACTCTTGGTTTTGGTATTGTTTTTTTGGTACCAGGGATCGAACTCAGGACCTTGAGCTTTCGAGGCAAGTACAGTGCCATTGAGCTAAATCCCCGGCCTATTTATTTGAGACAGGATCTCACTATGCAGTTCAGGCAGGCCTTGAACGCACTATGTAACCAGGCTGGCCTCAAGCTCACAGTAATCCTCCCACCTCAGCCTCTAGAGTGCTAGGACTATAGGCATGTACCACCATGCCTGGGTGGTTGGTTTTTTTAAAACAGGGTCTCACTATGTAGCCCAGGCTGGCCTCAAACTCGGAGTGATCTTCCTGTCTCATCCTCCTGGGCACTGGGATGACAGACAGGGACCTCCATATCCGGCTGTGGAATCTTCTCTTGCATCCACAGGAAGTCCCAGCTTAATCTTCTTTGTATCCAGCAGCCAACCACTTTTCACTCCTCCAGGGCAACAGCCCCCAGTGTCACCCACCCACCCTCCTGGATTAGCTACCTCAGGTCCTTTCTTAGTGCTACTGGCTGCCAAACTGGAGTCAGATCCCTTCCTGTGCTTAGAACTCTCCATGGCTCCCACCTCCCACAGCCCACGGGCCCTGAACAATCTCTCTCCCCACCTCTGCTCTCGTGTTCCCCTGCACTCACTCCATTCCCACCACACTGGCCACTTGCTGTCCCTGTAATCCACCAACCAGTTTCATCACAGAGCCTTTGCACAAGCGGCTTCCTCTGCCTGTGCCAGTCTTCCTGAGATGCCTTCAGAGGCTCTCCCTCACCTCCTTCAGGATTCTGCTTAGATGTTGCTGCTCCATTACTGAGACCTCCTCTCCTGGGCTCTTATTAAAATGTTTATCTTGCATGTCCAATTCCTACACCCCATCACTCTTGCCTGCTTTATTTTATTTATTTATTTATTTATTTATTTTGCACCGGGATCAAACTTGGGTCCTTGCGCTTGCACAGCAGGCAGCGAAACCACTGAGCTAAATCCCCAGCCCTGACCTGCTTTATTTTTAACTGTAGTACTCATATCAAACTTTAATTTAATCTTTTGTTTGCAGTACTGGGAATGGAACCCAGGGCCTTATACATGCTTGGCCAGCACTCCACACTGAGCAACACCCCTAGCCCCTCTATTTTGTGGATTGTCTATTTCTCTTTATTGAAAACATTCACTCCATGAGAGCAAACATTGTCTGGACCTTCTTCAACGACCACCACCATTGCCAGGTGTGATGGCACACTCCTGTAATCCCAGCATTTAGAAGGCTGAGACAGGTGGATCTCCCTGAGTTGGAGGCCAGCCTGAAGTATAAAATGAGGCCCTGTCTCAAAAAAAAAAACAAACATCATCACCACCACCACCACCACCACTATACACACAACACACACACAAACACACGATTCTTAACTCTCACTGACTAGGTGCTATCAGTCATTTATACTTCAGTAAAAATATATGACAGGCCTTCTTTAAAAGCAATAGGCTGAGGGCTGGGGATTTAGCTCAGTGGTTTTGCCACCTGCTGTGCAAGCACAAGGACCAGATGTTGATCCCCGGTACCAAAAAATGAAAAAAATAAAAAATAAAAGCAATAGACTGAGGCAGGAAGATTGCTGTGTAGTTCAAGGCCAGCTTGAACTACACAGCAAGACCTGGTCTAAAAAAAAAAAAAAAACTCCTACAAAAGAAAGCAATAGTCTGAGGGCCGGGGATTTAGCTCAGTGGGGCCACCACCTGCCTCACAAGCACAAGGTCCTGAGTTCAATCCTCGGTACCAAAAAAAAAGAGCAATAGTCTGTACAGAATATATAAAGATACTGTCTGTATTTGGGGTTTTTTTGTTTGTTTGTTGTTGTTGTTGTTGTTGGTACTGGGGATTAAACTCGGGACCTTGCACTTGTGAAGCAGGCAGTGGAACCACTGAGCTAAATTCCTGGTCCAAAAGCAATAGTCTGAATCCCTGCTCCATCTTCTCTCCCTCATCTTGGTGAGTGTCCAGCCAGGGTAGATTTAAAATCTTTATTATTCATTTTCTCAAATATAAAATCAGGCTCTTCCCAGATAGGACATTACTATGTCTCCAGGGACAGAATCAAGGATAAGAATCACATTGCTAAAGAGCTGGGGATTTAGTTCAGTGGCATTGTGCCTACTTTGAAAGCACAAGATCCTGAGTTCGATCCATGGTACCAAAAAAAAAAAGAATCACATCGCTAAAACAACAAAAGTCTATCCCTGCTACCTGCCCTTCCTTGACCCCCAATCTGGGGGAGCAAAGGGCAGAGATAATACACAGTTCAATCCTGTCACCCAGTTGGCCAAGGCCTGATGCTGGGTGCCATTCAAGGGTGGATTAAATTCTGGCGGGTGAGGAGGCCATTGGTCCCGAAGTGGTCAGTGCTTGTCAGTGGGGCGAAGCCTCAGAGGTGCCAGGCGGCCCAGGGGTCCTCGGCGAGCGTTTGTGGCCAGCCGCTGCTGTGCCAGGAAAGACTGGGCATGCGCAGGTGCCCGTTCTTCGCCAGCTCGCTGCTGCAGGGCCATGCCCTAGGGGAGGAGTACGGTTGGCCGGGACCAGGGAAGCCGCGGTACCCTCAGTCTTCTAGCTCTGGGGACAGTGCTCTCACCATATTATACCAAGCACTGATGAGCAGTTTTTCCTCCTGTTCCCGCTGATTGCGGCTCGTCTCAAAGTCCATCTAACAGAAAGAAAAATCAGGGGCCTGGGTGTGCTGGGGCAGCACAAAGGAACAAGGACAGCCAGGGGTTGCAGTGCACACCTGTCATCCCAGCACTAGAGAGGCTGAGGCAGGAGGACCACTGTGAGTTCAAGGCCGGCCTGCGCTACATAGTGAATTCAAGGAGAGCCTGAATTACATAGCGAGACCCTGTCTCAAAAATCCAAGAGGGCTGGGGATTTAGCTCAGTGGTTCCACCGCCTGCCTTGCAAGTCCAAGGTCCTGAGTTTGATCCCCCATACCAAAAAAGTAAATAAAAAACAACCAAAAGAAACAAAACAAAAAAACAAGGGGACAAAGACACCTACCTCCAGGTGCTGGATTCGGATGTCCTGCTCCTGGAGCTTTGTCCTCAGGGTGTGGAGTTCTGGGGGCACCCCTGTAGGTGGCCGCTGCTTGGGCTCCAGGATCTGTATAACCTAGGAGTTGGGGCGAAATTGCAGCCAAGGTGACCTTGAACTCACAGTCCCCTTAGACACGTGGTGTGTGTTAAACACACGACAGCCCATGGCAGTGGGAAGATGACAGAGGTCTGTGACATGGTGTGGGAGTGGTGGGCAGAGGTGGGGAGATGAGGACTGAAGAGAGGTACAGGGGCTCCATGGTACAGTGTCTGCCTAGCAAGTGTGAGGCCCTGAGTTCGATTCCCAGGACCAAAACAACAAAAGAGGCACAGGGAGTGGGCACTGGGGCAGGAGGGCTGTAGGACGCAGGCCTCACTGTGCGCGCCTTGTCAACGTAGCGGCGGTACCGCTCCTCCATGGCCCAAAGGTCTGCATCCTTCTTCTGCAGGCTCTCTTGCAGCTCTTCAATGCGCCGGGCTGCTGGGAGATGGGGGCCCTCAGTGCCATGCTGCCCTCGGGGATTGGCCCCCCGGCCAGGGAGACCCGCTTACTGTTGCTATCTGTGGGGGGCTCCAGCTCCTCAATGTACTCTCGCTTTCGCTGCAGCTCCAGGTCTGCCTCATGCAATTTTTGCCTGTGTGCAGCAGAAGGACAGCAGTGGGCTGACCCTCAGCTGGATTGTCTGCCCTGTCTTTTGTTTTGGTTTTTTTGGGGGGGTGTTCTTTGTTTTTGAGACAAGGTCTCACTATGTAGTCCACACTGGCCTTGAACTTGTGGCTGTCTTCCTCACTCAGCCTTCTGAGTGCTGGGATCACAAGGTGTGTACCAGCTTGTTTTTTTGTTTGTTTTTCAGTCCTGGGGATTGAACCCAGGGCCTACATCCCCAGGCCTTTTTATTTCTGATCTTGAGAAAGGGTCTCACTAAGTCACTAAGTTCCTCAGGCTGAGCTCTAAATTGTGACTCTCCTGCCTCAGGCTCCCAGAGTATTAATAGCTGGTGTGTGCCACCATGCCTGGCTTTTTTTTTTTAAGACAGGATCTCACTATATAGCCCAGGCTGGCCTTGAACTCAGCAGCAATCCTCCTGCCTCAGCCTCCCAAGTGCTGAGATTATAGGCATGGACCACCATGCCCGGCCTTATTTTATATTTTGAGGCAAGTTCTCACTAAATTCCCTAAGCTGGTCTCAAACTTGGGATCCTCCTGCCTCAGCCTTCCAAGCAGCTGGGATTAGAGGCATGTACCACTGTGCTCAGCTCTTTATTTTCTGCAGTGCTGAGGATGAACCCAGGCCATTTCCCCTGCTAGGCAAATGCTTTACCGCTAGGCCACACCCCCAACCCTTTGGCTTCTCTTTTGTCCCAGTGGTGCCTACAGCCTTCTCAGCTGCAGGAGACCTCCCTGCCTGCCTCCCCGGGGGCTCTGTGTCCTGCCCCTACCCTCTCCCCACTAACAGAGCACAGCGGCCCTGGGCCAGTGCCCCTCTGTCTTCTCCCCAGCCCACACTGGTCCAGTCACCATCATCCCTCACTAGCCTCTTCTACTCTAAACCCTTCAGATACATTCACTGAGCATGCAGGGATCTTTCCAAAAGTGATTTTGTGCCAACAACAACAGTACTAACAACTAGCCGGGTACAGTGGTGTACACTTTCAACCCCAACAATCTGGGAGGCTGAGGCAGGAGAATCACAAGTACCAGGCCAGCCCTCAAAACTTAGCAATTTAGTGAGGCTTTGTCTCAAAAACAAACAAACAAACAAACAAAAGCAATCATCACTTCTGGAAGAAAATCTCTCCGTGGCTCCCCACTGTACCCTAATGCACAAGCTCCTCCCCTGGGTCCAGCAGACCATCCTGGACCCGACCTTTCTGTAGACCTGTCTGTAACGAGGGACGGATCCCGAAGGCCTTCCCCAGCCTCCTGCCACCTGCCACTTACAGATGTTCCTCCAGCTTCCTCTTCAGTAGGGCGGGCTGGGGAGAGAAGCAGAAGGTGGGGAGGGGTCCAGAGGTCTGAAACCCTAGCCAGCAGGGGACCCTGGGGTGCCCCCCTAGGCCTGCAATACTCACGATGGCCTGCACCAGGCGGGCAGCGGGCAGAGGGGAAGAGAGAGAGGAGGGTTACAGGGGGCGAGGGGAGCGCTGGGCAGGGGGAAGTAGCACTCACGTCCTCGCTCCTGCCGCTCTGCTCCTGCAGGGCCTTCTGCAAGTCCTCCACCTGGGCCCGCAGCTCCGACAGCTGCTGCTGGTTCAGCCTGCAGGGTGGGGGCTGCTCAGTGCTCTCGTGCTCAGCTGGGCCCCAGGGGACCCCTCCTGGGCATCCAGCGGGACACCCACCTCCGCTGTGTCTCCAGCGCGTGACGCGCACGGTTAGCCTCCTCCAGATGGCGCTGCAGCTCCGCCTGCCTCTCGCGGTCCGCCGCCTCCTGCTGGCACAGCCGCTTGTTCTCCAGCTGGAGCCGCAGGAGCGTTTCCCTATCGGGCCAGGCATGAGCGGGGCTGAGGACCTGTCATCCCAAAGGCCAACTCGGGCCAGCCGGTGGAACCAGCCAGTGCGTGAAGCTGGGGTCAGGAGGGACCTTGGGAAAAGAGCCCAACCAGAACTGAAGGCGGGGACCAGCTGCGGGGGTGGCCAGGGCCTGGGGTACTAGAGGCGGAGCTCTTACGGGCCTGGGGGCGGAGCCAGGCCAGAATGGAGCTAGAACACAAGGGTCAGAACAGCGGATGAGGCCACAGAGAAGAACAGCTGATTTGGGAGAATTCATGGGACAGGTCATAGATTACTGCACCTAGCAGGGACTCCACTGGAGTGCAAGGCTGGACCTTGGGGGTAGGAGATCAAATTGGCAGGGTTAGGATGAGGGATTTTTGCATGTGTGCTGAGAATGGATCATGCAGCTGGAAAGCCACCAAGGAAGAAGAAAGAGCCAGAGTGCTCGGCCAGGTCAGAGCAAGATTGGGAGTGGAAGAGCCCAGGAGCCTGGCTAGGACCTGGAAGCCTAAACCAAGTACCAGGCTGGTCCCTGCGCACTTCAGAGGAGGGCTGAGAGGCCAGGCCGGCTTGGTGGGAGGAAGCACCAAGTGCCTGGATACCTGAGCTCTGCAGGCAGGATCTCCGCTGCCAAATTCTCCAGGCCCGACAGGGTGGGGTCCAGCGAGGGGTCTGGAGGATGTAAGGGTCTTCAGGTCTCTGTGAACTTGCAGCCCCGGCCCCCAGGGCCTCTTTCTCAGGACTGTCCTTGGGGCTCAAGTTCAGCCGCACCCCCTCCCCAGGCCCCTGCAGCTCACCAGCCTGAGTCAACCCCCGCGGCTGCAGCTGGGTGCAGCGTAGCTCCTCGTTGGCCTCTCGCAGGGAGTCCCGCTCAGCCTGCAGCCGCTGCAGAGCCAAGGACAGAGTGCAGGCCACATGAGACAGACTGCCTCCCAAGGTGTGCTGGTGGGGAGCTTGGGCTGCAGAGCCTTGCCCTCACCTCTTTCTCCTTTGTCACCAGTTCGTACTTTTCTTCCAGGTTGCGGTACTCAAATAACCACTTCTCAGCCTTCATGGCTTCCTCTCGTCGTTGGCCCTGCAGTTCCTGAACCTGAACAGAAAGAAGGGGTGAGAGCCGGGCATGGTGGCTCATGCCTGTCATCCCAGCACTTGGGAGGCTGAGGAAGGAGGATCACTGTGAGTTCAAGGCCAGCCTTGGCTACATAATGAGTTCAAGACCAGCCTGAACTACATAGTGAGACCCTATCTCAAAAAAAAGGGCTGAGGCCAGGTGTGGTGACACATGCCCCTAATTCCAGGACTGTGTAACCTGAGGCAGGAGGATCGCCATGAGCTCCACGCTAGCCTGGGGTAGATAGTTGAGTTTAGACCAGCCTGGACTACAAAGCAAGATCCTGTTTCAAAAAAAAAAAAGGGGGGGGCGGGGAGGGTGAGGACTGCAGGGATGGAAGGAAGGGCAGCGATTTAGGACAAGGATGCTTAAGAGCAGAAGGTGGGGCTTACAAACCTAGACAGATCTGGCCTGAGTCAGGGACGGCCCTAAAGTGTGTGGCCTACAAGGTGAAGGCGGGGCTCGGTGAAGTCCCGGGTGGGGTGCGTGCGTTTGGGAAGCGGTGTCCAGAGTGAGGGCGGGGCTTCGGGCAGCACTGAGAGAGGTTCAAGTAGGGGCCATGTCTGTTGGGTGGGGGGCCTACAGGCGTGTGGGCGGGGCTGCAGGCAGCAAAGGGAAAGTCTCTAGGATAGGGCCTCCTCACCTGCCTCCGTTGTGCCTCCAGCTGGGCACGCAGCAAGCCGGCCCTGCGTAGCTCGTCCTCCAGCTGCCTCGTGCGCTCCGCGTGGCCCGCATTGCGCTCCTCCAGCTGCCGCACCTGTCGCCGCAGCTCCTGCAGCTCGCCCAGACGGCGACGGCAGCTGTCCAGGGTGGCTTCCAGCTGCCCTGCGCGCTCCGAGGATTGCCTGTGAGGGGTCAGGCAAGGGGACAGTCAGGGGCCAGCTGGGATGCTGGGCCCTTGGGGCAGGAAAGGGTGCGAACTGGGAATGGGATGGGTTCAAGGTGAAGGGTTCACGAGAGTGGAGGGCCAGGGGTCTACCAGGGCCTGGTGCTGTTGGGGGTCATTAAGGTAATGGTTAGCCCAGGGTTACAATCGGAGAAGCTTCAGGGGTTTTTTTTTGGTTTGGTTTTTTTTTGTTTTTCTTGGTACCGGGGATTGAACTTGGGACCTTGCGCTTTCCAGGCAGGTGGCGGAACCACTGAGCTAAATCCCCGGCCCAGGGTTTTTTATTTTTTAGACAGGCTCTCCATAAGTTACTAAATTGCCCAGGCTGGGCTTGAACTTGAGATCATACTGCCTCAGCCTCCCAGAATGCCAGGATGACAGGTGTGCACCACTACTCCTGGCTCGAAGTGGATTTGTGGGGATACAAATGGGTGATGGGTCACAGAGGGAACGAGGACCCAAAGGGGACTGAGGATCCCCCAAGGACAGCATGGGGGTTTGGGAGAATTATAAGGCAAGAGCACTAAGGGTCTTTGGATATACAGTGGACAAGGGACCTACTAGGTACTTAAACCAAGAGTGCTGTAGGGTCATAGGGGGCCCGTCAGGGTTACAGAAGACACAGTAAGGTCATAAAGGGCTGCAGGCTGCAGCTGTAGAGTTCTGGAGGGCACATAGGATCCAGGGGCATGCTGGGGCCTGGAGTGGGGGGTCTGGAGAGTGTTGCTGGGGGAGGTCCTGTTTGTTGAGGGTTCTTGGGGTCTGGATTATAACATGAGATAGTAGCACTGTGGGGCTGTGGGAGCACTATAGGTGCAGGGTGTCTGCTGGGGTCCAGGGATGTAAGGGGTTCAGGATACTGCAGTAGGGCCCAGCTGGTATTGCGGGGTTTGGGGTGGTATGGTGAAGTCTGGGGGCACTCAGACCATGCTGCAGATATGCAGTGGGCTCCCTGGGACTCTGGCTCACCGAAGCTCATCTATCTCATCCTTCAGTGCCTGCGCCTCCTGGGCCAGGCTGGTCAGCGCCTGGTTCCGCTGCTGCAGCTCGGTGATCTCTCGCTCCAGCTCTGTGCACCGAAGCCTTTCATCCTCCCGGCTGCTCTCCAGCCTGGGGGTGGCAGGGGAAGGGCTCAAAAAGGGGCTGCTGCCTCCACCCTAATCTCCCAGCCCCCTGGCCCTGGTCCTCAGCTGCCACACCTGAAGTTCTCCTCTTGTAGCTGTTCCAGCTGGGACTGGAGCAACAGCAGTTTTTTGGCTGTGAGACCTGGGGTACCCTCAGCCTCTGGCCGGCCCACTCGCTCACGAAGCACTGCATTCTCTTGTGCCAGGCTCTGTTTCTCCTCGGACAGGAGTACCAGCTGCAGGCAGGGAGGCGAGTTAACTGGAGCCTGGATGGGGGTGCAGCTGACCCAAAGCCCCCCAGTGCCTCCCTACCTGCCGCTCAAGGTCCAGACAGTGCTGCTGGAGCTCATCCCCCTCCTCGGCCTCCTCACTCAGGAAGTAGTACCTGCGGGACTGAGCAGATGGAGGGGAGTGGTTGGGGGGCTAGGGAGCCAGGAGGACTTGGGGAGGAAGGCTGAGATCTCTAGGGGGACAGGGGAGCCCAGCCAAGGGACCCTAGGATCTAAGAGAGGAGTGGAGTCCCAAGTGACTGAGAGAAGGGTAATTCAGGAGCCCTGGGGACTTGGCAAGGAGAGAGGCCAGGACCCTGACTGAGGAGGGGTTGGTTTACAGGCCTCAGGAAGAGTCCCTCCACCTTGTGAAGCCCCATCTACAGGGTGGGGCCCATCAGCAAGGTTCTCCACCCTTACCTGCGTGTCAAAGTTGCCATATGTCTCTGGCGACAGGGAGTCAGGGGTGTCTTTGGTCATGAGCTGAGGGTGGGGGAGGCATTCTGATGAGCTGAGTGCTCTGATTTTTTTTTTTTAGTACCAGGAATCAAACTCAGGATCTCGGGCTTGGCAGGTAGGAGAGGTACCACTGAACTAAATCCCTGGCTGATTTTTGTTTTTGAGACAGGGTCTTCCTATGTAGTTCAGGCTGGCCTTGAACTCACTACATAGCCCCAGATGGCCTCAAAGTCATGGCAATCCTCCTGCCTCAGCCTCTCAAATCCTGGGATGATAGGTGTGCATCACCACACCTGGCTCTGAGCTGAGCTGTCTGAGGACAAGCCTTCAAGCCTTCTCCAATCCAGCCTAAGAAGGTGTCTACTCTCAGGTCCCCAGAGCCAGTTCTCCCCAATAACCTGAGCCCAGAGGCTGCCCCCTGCCTCTGACATCGAGGGAAGGTACCTGGAGGCTGCAGGATTGACTTAAAGCTGGCAGACATGAGACAGAGATGGCTGGCCAGGTGACCTCCAGGTAGAGACTAGATCTTACCAGGGCTTGTGCCAGTTACCTCTCTCAGCCCTGGAACCATTCCCTCCTGACACTCACACATCCATACCTACCTCCTGGATGGCTTCCATCACTACATGTTGAACTGACTCCTCCAGTGTCATGATTCTCTGGATGTGCTCTGGGGATCAAGGTGGGGTGACTGAGACCCAGGGGCAGCTCAAGGGAGGAATGAGGATTTTCTCAGGTCAACCCCTGGGGACCCCTGAGCTCTCCCTCTGGCCTTCCCCATACCCTGCTTTTTCTCGCAACTGATTGCACATCCCAGCACCAACTGTAGCAGCTTGCCCAGCTCCGACGGGTCTGAGAACTGGCCAAGCAGGCTCACATCCGGGAGGTGCGGTTCCAACACTGGATGCCCCAAGACCTGAGGACAAAGAGGTAGAGAGGGAAAATAGGCTTCACAGACCCAAGCCCTTCTCCCGAGCCCAACCAATCAACGGCCTGACAGTTACTCACATCCTGAGAGTACTCCAGCAGGCTCCGTAAGATCTTTTCCAGATTGCTGACCTGGGGAGGCGGAGGTGCTCTGTACACTGTACAGGGGCCCAGAGGCCCTGACCTCAATCTGCCTCCACTTCTTGTTGTCCCCCGCACCACACACATACTTCTCATTCCCTGCTTGGCCCTGCTTTCTGAAGGTACCTTCCCCAAGAGTGACCTCTCTGGCCATGCATCCTGTGTCCACCTTATCATATTTGCTCATGCACTCCCAGCACACAATTGCTAGCCAGGGGTGGTGGTGGTACATGCCTGTGACCCCCACAATTGGGAAACTGAGTCAGAAGAATCTCTGTGAGTTTGAGGCCAGCCTAGGCTACACAGTGAGTTCAAGGCCAGCCCGAACTACATAGTGAAACCCTGTCTCAAAAAAACTAAAACAGTGCTGGGGATTTAGCTCAGTGGTTCTGCCGCCTGCCTCGAAAGGGCAAGGTCCTGAGTTTGATCCCTGGTACCAAAAAAAAAACCAAAAAACAAAAACAAAATCAGAACGCAGTTGCTTTCACAACATGGTTCTAGTCACTGTCATCTCTCACCTGGAAGACTGCACCAACCACCTCCAATACTGCAATTTATTTTTCAGCTCTGGGGATGGAACCCAGGACCTGGTGCGTGCTAGGCAACCCTCTCCACTGAGCTGCACCCCCAGGCCCTCAACTTCCATTCTTGCCCACACTCCATTCCTCTCCAGCCAGCCAGGAGGAGCTTTTTCAAGGGCATGCCAGGTTGTATCTTTGCTCAGGTGAAATCCTTCCCTGACTTTCCACAGCACTTAAAATAGAATCCACACACCCTCTGAGTCCTGCCAGGCCCTTGATCACTTCATCTCCTACAATTCTTGCCCTCTTGCTCTCTCTTTTGACCTCCCCCCCACCATTCCTCAGTTATATCCAGCTCATTTCCAATGCAGGGGTTTTGCACTTGCTATTCCCTCTGCTGGAGAACTTTCTTTCTTTCTTTTCTTTCTTTCTTTCTTTCTTTCTTTCTTTCTTTCTTTCTTTCTTTCTCTCTCTCTCTCTCTTTCTTTCTTTCTTTCTTTCTTTCTTTCTTTGTACTGGGGATCGAACTCAGGACCTTGCACTTGCAAGGCAGGTGTGAGGCCACTGAGCTAAATCCCCGGCCCTGGAATACCAAATCTCCCCTGGAAATCAGCCCATCTTCAGGAAGCACCTCCCTCCCTTACCCTCTCTCATGATCCTACTTTTATTATGGTCATTGATCTATTACCATCAAAAGTTCATTTTTGTGGGTGTGGTAATGAGGATTGAACCTAGAGCTTCATTTACACTGATCTACATCACCAGACCTTTTTTTTTCTTTTGGGACAAGGTCTTGCAAAGTCACTAAGTTGGCCAGGCTGGGCTAAAACTCAAGATCCTTCCAGAGTACCTGGGATTACAAGTACATGCCACCATGCCCAACTAGAAGTTAAATTTTGTTTTTGTTTTTGAGATTAGGTCTCAATATGTAGTCGGGCTGACCTTGACTTCAAGGTGATCCTCCTGCCTCAGCCTCTTGGGTGCTGGGATCACAAGCATGAGCCACCACACCCAGCTTGGCTAGAAGTTAATTTTTATGTTTCTATATGTATTGTTTGTCCACATTACTGGAGTGGAAGCCACATGAAGGCAGGTTTTGGTCTGTTATTCCTTGCTCAGTCCCCAAGAAATAGGTGTTCAATAGATGTACTGAGGAACAAAATAGTTGTCTGGTCACATCTCTGTTCCTGGCCAGGTGTGTCTGTCCGTCTCTCTAGCTGCCCCACTGTGTGATCTCTTCACTATTGTGTCCTCCTAGTCATGAGTCCACCTGTCACCTTCAGCTTCCAGTTGGGACCTGGATCCTCTGAGATGCTCTGGAGCCATGCTTCGTTAAACCAGGAGGGGTCTCTGGGGGCAAGAAGATGCTATTAGCTGGCTGGGGCACCCTTTGGGGAATCTCCCCCTCAGCCCCACTCACATCTGGTTCAGCACGTGGGCAATGGCCAGGCCACTGCTCAGGTCCTGGGGGCTGGTGAAATGGGGTGGAACTTGGAATGTCTGCAACTGAGGAGAGAAGAGAAGGGCAATGGGGAAATTCAGGGCCTGGAACTCTTGAACCACTGCTCTTCTGCAGTCTTTTCCTGGCTAGCAGAAACCTCCCAGTTGGGCGGGCACAGGCCTGTTGCACTAGCAGCCAGCTTTACGGAAGGCGTGGCTTCTGCACACCTGAGACCGGAGGGGGCGTGGCCTTCTTTCACCTCTGCCCAGTAAACCAGGTCAAGGCGGCACCACGTGACCAGGCCAGCACACCTGTGCCACCTACCCTACGTGAGCCAGGCAGAGGGGCGGGGCCTCACCTGTCCTTTCCACGCAGACCTGCCACGTGACAGGGGCGGGTGCTCGGACCAAAGTCCAACGGCCAGCCAGGCCTACGACCCCCTCCACCTTTCAGCCCAGGACGGAGAGGCCGACTGGGGGCAGGGCCGGGATCGCGGGCGAGAGGAGCGAGTGGGCGCTCACCTGTCCCCAGACCCGCCCCCCGACCTACCCAGGTGAGCAGAGACCCGCATAGCTCGGCCTTGTCCACGCTCATGGCTCCCGATCCGATTCGACCCCGCCACGGACGCTTCAGGGTCCGCCACCAGCGAGAGCCAGCCGCCCCTACCTCCCGCTCCGCCTAGAGCGCCGCCCCTCCCGCCCCGCCTCCCGGGCCCATGCCCCGCCCCTTGCACGTGATTTCGCCCGACTCCCGCGCTTACCTCCAGCCCCGCCATCTTGGGTCCAGGCAGTGCCGGGAGCCCGCGCAGCCGCTAGGGGTCAGTCTGCCCCAGCCGGGCTCCTGGGCGGGCGGCCAACTCCCCTGCTCCGCGTCTCTTTTGGATTGGAAAAGTCCTCACGATCCTTCTAAGGAGGAGCTGCCCCGTCCTGCTGTGCAAGCAGGAGCATTCACGTCCTTTCCCTCCAGCTGAAAGACATTTAACTGCCTTGCGATCAAAGCCTTGATTTGTGGGGGAAGGCGCGAGCCGTAACACATCTCGTGGATTCGGTGTAGGCGATCCTAAAGGCATCACTGGTGCAGGTGACTCGGAGTCCTGCCCCACCCAAGGTGGGCCAGGGGACACGGGTGTGGGCCCAAGTAGAGGTCAGGAAGGATCGGCCAGCACTTGCCAGCACGGGTCAGTCCCACTCCGAGCTGCCCTGCGCCTTCTCTGTGCAGTTCACGAAAGCTCCTGACGCTCGAAGACCACCAGGGGGCGTACAGAGCGCGGCCTACTGGCCAGAGGGTGGCTCACCCCCAGACCCTCCGACGGCAATGAAGGGGGCTCAAAGGAAAGACGGAACGATCGAGGTTAACAATAACAACGCGTCAGGCGAGGTGGCGCACGCCTGTAATCCCCCTCTCGGAAGACTGAGGGAGTACGATCTCCGAGAGTTCGAGGTCAGCCTGGGCTACATAGCGAGACCCTGTTTCAAAAAAACCAAACAGTAACATCACCAAGTCACGTCTATGGAGTGCCCACTGTACGCACTCCCTGCGCTAGGGGATTTAAATACACGCACATTTGAATGCCCCGGACGACCTCAGTGGCAAGTCCTGTTTTAATTCTCAGTTTTACCGAGGAAGAAACCAGAGTATCCAGGTAGACCTCGACTCTGAGGGGGGGGAAGTAAAGCCCTAGCCCTTTGACCCCAGGGTCCCCTTCCTAGTGGCCCCTCCCCCCAGGCGGGCGGGGTACTGTACTGTAATTGGAGGTTATTAGCTGTACCCGAGGCAGGGACAGGCTCTGCTCTGGGGGTGAGTCCAGGTCGGAGGGGAGGGGAGCTGACTGAGCAACCCTATGCCAGAGCGGGGGTGGGCAAGGTGACCGCAGCTGAGCATGCGGTCCCTTCATCCAGCCAACTGGTGCAGCCCACTCAGACACGCTGCCCGGCGCACCCGGAGCCTGGGAGCAGGGGCCACACGGCCACCACTCCGCCCGGCCCAGTCCCACCTCCAGCCTTAGGATCGGGTAGAGGGAGCAGAGGGGACAGGGACCGGAACCACCGGGCCTGGGGCTCCCAGGCTGGACTGCCTTCTGCTGGGCGTGGAAACAACTAATCCCTGGTCCCCCATCCCCCACTCCGGCTTACACGGGAAACGAAGCCACCCCATGCCCAAGTAGCAGTGGGAGGTGAGACTGGAATCCCGAGAATGGGGGGCTGGACATCCTGAGACCCTCAGATATTTGGGGTGGGGGTCGCGGGGATTTTGGTGTTTGGGGAGAGAAATCTAGGAATCCAAGTATTTGGGGAAATTTACTTAAGTTGCTCTAATATTGGCTGGTGTGATGTTATGGGCATTCCAGATGTTCAGGGAGCCAAGATTTAAGTAGAGATCCGCGGTCTCAGTTTGGGAAAGAGCCACAAGCCTCTGAGTCAAGGGAAGAGTCCCGCATTTGAGGGAAACAGGGGAGCTTCTGTGTTGGTGGGGAAGACCAGCAGCCCGCTTCACAACACAGGCAGCCGTGCTGTGGAGGCGGGATCTGGGGACCTTCAATTCTACAAAGGGGGCCACAAACTGCGTTTTTGACAGGGACCCCATATTTGAGGGAAGGATACAAACCCGTTTTAGGTTCAAGGAGCCCCAAAGTTTGGGGAGGGTAGTCGGGAGGGCTTCGTTTGTAGGGACTGAAAGCCTCCAAAGTGCAGGTCTGGACCAGAAGCCCCCAGCTGGTTTGAGGACCCCACCCCCTCCTATCTGTTTCCAGGAACAGCTGGGCCTGGGCTGGGTTGTACTGCTGGGAAGCCTGTGACTCAACCCCTCCCTGTGGCCAAGGCTGGACCCTGGCCGGCCCCCTCTAGCCTGCACATCTGGGCAGACACCCATTCATGAGGACTGGGATGGGAACCCAGGGTCCCACAACTGGAGCATAGCATCCTCCCACCTTCCTCCGAGCTGACCCAAACTCCTGAGTGGACCCCATGCACGGCTATCATGGGGAACCCTGACAGGGCCCCTATGCCCTAGATGCTGACATCCTGCCAGGCACTCCTATCCAGCCCCCTCTCCTGTGTCCCAGTCCACATAAAATGTGCTTGCATTTGTGTAGGTGTGAAGCCATGGGCCTTTGATTGTGTGTGCACAGGCCTGTGTGTCTACATCCACCTGTGCCTTGGATCCCTGGAGATTTTGTAACTGGGTGTCTGTGATTTGGTTTCTTTGTTGTTTTGCAATACTGAGCTACATTCCCATCCTTTTTGTTGTTGTTAAATAAATTTTATCTTATTTTATCCCATCCCCCTCCACATACAAAAGCTTTGTTTTCACCCATCCTTTTTTTTTGCTACCAGGGATCAAACTTGGAACCTTGAGCTTTCGAGGCAGGCAGCAGAACCACTGAGCTAAATCCTCAGCCCTTAGGTGGGACTTGAATGTTCCCTCTTCCTCCCTCAGTCTCCCTCAGGGTTGCAACTGCAGCTCTGTGCCACTGCACCCAGCTTGTCTATGTGATTTGATGGTGCAGGCGCTGTCGGGACTGGGGAGTGAGACTGTAACACATCCTTGTCCGTGTTTAACATCCAGGTTTCAGTCTCTATGCAGTCTTTTTGTTTTGTTTTTTAGTATGAGGGATCAAACTTGGGGAGCTTGTGCTTGCGTGGCAGGCGCAAGAACCACTGAGCTAAATCCCCAGCCCTCTATACAGAGTCTGGATGGCTGTCTCTGATTGTGCTGGTGTTGTGTGTCGGTCCCTACTACTGTTCCTGTGCATGACTTTGTTTTGGGAATCAGTCTCCATGTATTTTTTTGTTTTTTGTTTTGTTTTTTGAAACAGGGTCTCACTATGTAGCCCAGGTTAGTGTTGAACTATGTAGTCCACGCTGGCTGAGAAGTCCCTATGATCCTCCTGCCTCAGCCTCCCGAGTGCTGGGATTGTAGATGTGCACCACCATGCCTAGCTTCTATGTCTTGTGTGGTGTGACAATCAGTGTCTGAACATGGGCTCAGGTTGTACGTTGTGATGGTGTCCTACTTTGTCTTCATCATGGGTCTCCCTGTGACAGTGTGACCTTGTTTCCCTGGTTTGTCTACACTCCTTTGCACAATGTGAGTATTCCTGTGTGTGGCCTTGTCTCTGCCTGTGCCCTACTTTGCGTGCCCTGTGATAAGTGTGGGGGCCTGAGTGTTGTGTCTGTCTCCACATTGTGTCTCTGCTGGCACAGTCTCCATGGGAGAGGGGGTGTGTGTGTGTGCCAGTCCAAGCCCCAGTGTCCAAGGCTCTGTGATCGGTTTTCCTCTTGGCCTGGATGGTGGGGCATTATCAGTGTCTGTAAATGCAATCGCTGTGGCTTGGCTGTGTCCCTATCACAAACCGCAGGTGACCGAGGTGCTGCGTGACTCTGCACACCCGTGGTGAGTAACCGTTTGTGTCCATATTCACTGCGCAGCTGGCTGGACGGAAAGGGTTTTGCTGCTTTGTGGCAGGTGTATCCTGTCTCTGTGTGACACTGAGGGTCAAGAGCAGTTATCCCGTCTGTGTGTGCGGAGGAAGGTGGTGTCACAGTCACCCCAGCCAGCGCTTAACCGGCTTAACCGTGGGAGGGGCGAGGTGCACAGGAGGTTTGCACCCCCTCAGCTCCTCCTTGCTCTGCGGGGGTGCGTGCGTCGTGCGTGACGTGAGACACAACGGAGGCCGCCGAGTGCGTGGAGCCGACGCGGTCGTGCGTGCGAGCGCGGGGTCGGAGGAGGGGCCGCTGCTGCGTGCGTGCGTGCATGCGTGCGCGCTGGGGGCTGGGCTCACTGGAAGGCCGAGGTGAGGGGTGAAACTCAAGAGGGGGAGGGGGCTGCTGTTAACCCCTTCCTGCCTGACCCGAAACTCGGTGGCCCAGGCCTAGCGCACGGGGCTTCCCCAGCCCGCGAGGGGGCAGCCCCTGCGAGGAGCGGACCCCCCCCAACCCGCAGAAGCCGGGACCCTCCTGTTGCCATGGAAACCAAGCTTCCCGCGCAGTGCTGAGCTGCTTCCTTCTCCTCCTCCAGTTCCATAGTTCGCACACCCCGCGTTTTCCCCTCCTGTTCCCTCTACCCCAGCGAGGACGGGGTCCGGGGTGACTCAGGCCAGCCCAGGGGTCCCCTAGCCGCCGGCCTCGCCCCCTTTCTCCGCTTCCGTGACTCAGCCTCGCAGCTTTACCCCGCGGTGACTCAGGCCCCTGGGGAGGGGGCTTCGGGCTCCGGGACCCCCCTTCATCACCGCCCCCCCCCGGGGGGGGAAGCTGACAACAGGTTCTGGAACCGCTGGCTCCAGGGCAAGGGACCCCCTCCAGCGCGAACGCGTCCCGCCTCCCCCTCCCGTGGCTGACCCTCACGGAGGTCCCTGCGGCCTTTCCCAACCCCGCAGGGCAGAGCCTCCCCACCGCATCCCTGCCTCCGGGAACCCGCCCTTCCCCCAGCGCAGCCACAGGAAGCTTTGGCAGTCTGTCGCGGCGATGAAACGGTTAAAGCCGTTTCTTATTCATTTCATCCAGGGGCCCCTTTTGACTCAGAGCAAGCGGGTCCCCCCAGGACCGGGCCTCCCGGGGGCCTGGGTTCCTACTCCACCCCATAAGCACCGTTTTGGCTGGTGAGCGGGGGCGGGGGGGGGGTCCTGGAGCATCAGCATGCAGAAATGGGTTCACATCCTGTTTCTGCCCTCATCGCTGTCTGGGCCTCAGTTTCCCCGTATGAAAAGGGAATAATTATGTCTAGCTCTTTGAGTTGTTGTGGGAATTAGATGAATGACATTAACTCTTTGCATTCAGAGCTGGACACAGGGGCAGAGATCGCCTCCTGTCTCTTGGGCCTGAGTGTCCTGGTACCCGGCAGAGGCTAGTGCTTCGTGCCCCACCCAGGCTTTCTGAGGCCATGGGGTTCACTCTGTCTACCCCCTACCCAGGGCGAGCACCCAGGAAGTGAGAGGTGGGGCAGGAATGAGGCGGAACCTGTTGGGCCCGTCACTTCCCCAGCCCCCACCCTCATTCCCGCGCCCTGACAAGGACCCCCCCCCCCGCGAGGCCTCCCAACCCCCGCTGCCCTGGACGCCTGGGTCCTGACCTATGGGTGGCCAGAGGGAGGGGATGTCTGATGGAGACGCCGTCTCGGGAACATCCTGTGG